GGCCCTGAGCTAACATCTGCCAATCCTCCTTTTTTGCTGAGGAAGACTGGCCCTGGGCTAACATCCATGCCCATCTTCCTCTACTTTATATGGGACGCTGCCACAGCATGGCTTGCCAAGCAGTGCGTCAGTGCACGCCCAGGATCGGAACCGACGAACCCTGGGCCGCTGCAGCAGAGCACGCGCACTTAACCACCTGCGCCACCGGGCCGGCCCCCAATGTGTTTGTTTTTAATTTACATAATATATCATGAATACAAGAAAGTAGAGACCAATATAACAAACACTCACCTTAAGAAAGAAAATTTTACAAATACTAATGAAACCTCTTGGGCTTTCTTCCTAGTATGCCTCATTCCCCCTCCTTCATCTAAGAGGTGACCACAAACCTGAATTTGGTGTTGACCATTAACCTGCATTAAAAAAAAATGTTTTTTAATGCATATTTATATATCCATAAATACTATTCAGTATGTCATTTTGCCTATTTTTTAACTTTATATAAATCGTATCTTCCTATATGTATCCTTCTGTAATACTTCATTTTTTTTCTTTTAATCAACCTGTTTTTGAAGTGTATCCAGAATGATATGTTTTTTTAATTAATTCATTTACACCATGATTTATTTATCCATTCTCCACCTGAGGGATATTTAGTAGGTTGCCATTTTTTTTTTTTTTTTTTGCTATTGTAATCAAAGGATCAGTGAACATTTTCGCACAAGTTTCCTTGGGCATGTGGGTGGGAGCATCTTGGGGATACACCACAAGCATTTCAAATATGAGAAAATGAGAAAAGGTGGTTAAACAGCGGACTTCCGGGTCCACTGTTTTCTCCTCTAACCCCCATTTAGGGGCTCGTCCAATCCTATGCACACATACATAATATTACAAAAGTTAAAAATAGTATTTTATTTTTTCTATGGATTGAAGAGATCCTTGATGACATTATATATATTTCATTTAAGTTTCTAGGCTTTACGACACTCTGTAGATTCCAAGGTACACTAGCAAACAATGATATACCCAGTCTCAAGCTAAATGACACCCAAAGGAATGTGGGGCAGTATGACACTCTTGAGCTAAAGTTATAAGACTGCGTTGTGAAAATATAACAATACAGAAGTGCGTGCCCAAGGACACTGTTAAGAGCCACATGAGCAGGGCACCAGGAAGTGCTCAAGGAGTCCCGGGAGCCCTATGCTCTGCCCATTTGAGCTGGGATGGAGCCATCTGTATGACGTTGCCCAGAAGGGGAAGGAAGGGCAATGCAGACCAGAGGCAGAAACCAAGTTTCTAGTACTTTCCAGAAGTGTGCCATTTTTTCCCTGCAGTTCAGTGAAGGAGAACAAGTCAAGTGGGGTAGGCAATGTGTAAAGTGCCTACACTTGAAGCGAATCGAGACTATGGGATTAAAGTTCTGAATAGCTAGCAGGTGGTCAATTTCTAAAGCAATCTCTTGGAGACTGATGTGGAGAAAGACATGGGAAGTGCTGGGGTTTATTACCCATCACTTAGCTGCTGGCACTGGCTCCTATTCTCCTGCTCGCTGCTTCCCTCTCTTCTCTTTCTGCTTCCCTTCTCCCCCTTTCAGTTCGCCTCCTGTCATCCTCTGTTATAATTAAAACAAATAGAAAACACTGCAGGTGTCTGCTATAAAGCATTTGCAGATACTCTAGACTGCATTAAAAAAAAAGGCAGCTGCAAATTGTGTAATTTGGTCTTTAAAAAACAAACCTGAAAGACATTTCTGGAAATAAACACATTGTTCATCCTGGTAAATTTTGAATTTCCTTTTTGTTTGTACTTCAGCCCAGCTCATCACCATTTCCTCACTGCCTTGCACAGAAAGTTTCAGCTTTAACTAGGGAGTGTTGTTGCTATTTTAGAAGAGATGGGGGATTTCTGGACTGATGGCTTAAAGTGAGGAAGCTGTGACTGCAGGGTCTGGTGTAGTTTAAGACAGTGTTTCTCTCAGTCAAAACAACACCCAAGAATAACAGCATCTGTAAGCTACTAAAGTGGAGAAGCAGCAGAAATGTGCTGAAATATTATCCGTAATAGTTGGAAGGGACCTGCCTTCCCCAGAGGAAACCAATATGTTGGGATGGATTACGTTGGGGACCCTCCCATGCTTGCTGGGGGCGTCCATTCAGGTCTGCAAGTCATTTTTAAAATTTTTATTTTTTAAATTTTTATTTATTTTTTTTCCCCCAAAGCCCCAGTAGATAGTTGTATGTCATAGCTGCACATCCTTCTAGTTGCTGTATGTGGGACGCCGCCTCAGCATGGCTGGAGAAGCGGTGCGTTGGTGTGCGCCCGGGATCTGAACCCAGGCCGCCAGCAGCGGAGCACACGCACTTAACTGCTAAGCCACAGGGCCGGCCCTGCAAGTCATTTTTAAACATCTGCTCCAGGAGCATTCCACAACAGGTGTTCCAGTTTTGGCTCGAGGTTCAGCTATGTCTTCCTCTCCCTTGACTTTCAAATTTCTCAGGGCAGTGGAGCGGGTGCAAGCGTTGGGGAAGCCAGTTTAGCAATGAAGAACGGAAATTCTCCAGTCAGACAGAGCTGGCATTTAAACCCTGGCTCTCTCTCTGATTAACTGTCATCACTGGGCAAGTTACTTAACTGCCTTGTGCTTTTATTTCCTCATCTGTAACATGGAGTCAGTCATCCCATGTGCATCATGGTCATAATTTTGTGAGGACAGAAGGAGATAATGCATATGAAGTACTTACTAACACAGTGCCTAGCGTGGCACATACTCCAGAGAGGGTAGACAATAATGGTAATGGTAGTGAAGGTGGGGTGGTGGTGATATCTTTTAGAACTCCATAGTGTCATCTTGCCTGGGTCACATCCATCTATCCAGCCATCCATCTGTCCATCCATCCATCCAAGTATCCATCCATCCATCCAATCATTCATTCGTTCAACAAATATTATAGACCTCTATTATGTGTCAGGCATTGTTCTAGGGTTCTATAAAACAGTACATGCATTTATATCCACTAATATTTAAATAAAGAAAAATAAAAAGCATCCAATTAGTAAAAACTTAATAGTGCCAAAGAATGAAAGACATGCATATACATTCTCAGGAAATTAACATTAGGTTGAAGTGAATGGCCTTGGTTATTAATCATGCTATATTTCTACACCTATATTAAATGTGTAGTGCCTTTTTGCTCCTGGTGGCTAAATTTTGCATAATAAATTAAACTTCCCCTGGCAGAAACACAAAACCCTTGAAAGCATTCTCTATCCTAGCAAAGAAATCTATAAACCCCAATCCCTGGCTAAAGGATTTGAAAACCTTCACCACGTTAGAGTCATCACTATCTGAGTGGTTTTCTAGTTAAGACCCAAACTTTATTTCACATAAGAGTATAGTCATCAGGCAAATTTTTTTCCTGAATTCCATGGTAAATATTCCTTTCTCTTTCTCTTTCACTACAACATAGTTTCCTACTGGTCTTCTTGCCTTTGTTTCTTCCTTTTACATTGTACACTGCATACTTATCTTCCCTGAAAGACAGGCTATCATTCATTCATTCATTCATTCCTTTTCACTCACTCAACATTTACTGAATGTCTACTAGCGCCAAGAATTTGTCACTCCTCTCCTTAATCACCAGTACTGGTGCCCTATCATATACCGAATCAAGCCTGACGTCTTCACTCTAGTTCCACCCTTAGAGTTCATCTTATTTTCCTTCGTGACTGTCCACTCCAGATAGGTGACAGGAAAGTCCTCTGCACATACACATGTTCATGTTTATTTTTATCCCTCTATTCTCCTACAGCATCCTCCCTACCAGCAAATTTTCAACCATAAAATCCTTTTACCATTAAAAGTCTTGCTCAAGACTCATTTCCTCTATGCAGTACTCTAGGACGATTCTAGCTTGGCTGTTCCCAGCCTTTGGAACTTCATGGATGTGTAAATTTAAAAAGATCAGGGACCAATTTAAGGTTGCTACTTTTTATTTTATTATAAAGTAAAAACATTTAAAAATATCAGTTACCAGCTGCTATTACCACTACTTCATAAAAGAAATGCCATTTTAACACAAATAGGAAGCAGGAAATCCATAATCTCAGAATAAAGGGCAATTCATTAAACACATTTAGCTTTAGAAAAACATGTCTATGTTATCCTTATTTTTTTCATTTTACCATGAATATCCATTCATGGGCCAGCACATAGGAAGCATTCATGCATAGCATTTTTGGATGCAAACAAAGTGGGTCAGAAATGCGTGATCCTCTTCCAGTTTGGCGGGGAAATGATAACTCCTAACATCATCTCACTTAATTCAATCCACACAGCAATCCTATTAATATCGCCATTCTACAGGTGAGGAAATAAGGCTTAAAGAATTTGTCACTTTCTCTAAGTAGCAGAACTAGTAAGCGGTGAAGTTACTATTCAAATTCAGATCTATATAATTCCATAACCCATGCTCTACAGTGGATGCAATGTTGCCTCTCAGAAGTATAAAATATGAAAGGTGCAATTTGCTACAGATTTCTTCCCAAGCCACAAAGACAAACTTCCAAAGTTGAATTGACCACATGTTGAGGTTTAACTCAGAGTGTCTCAAGCTTAGCACTATTGACATTTTCTTAGTTGTGTGGGTCTCTCCTGGGCATCACAGGATATTTAGCAGCATCCCTGTCTTCTACCCACTAGATGCCAGTAATACTCCCTCCCAGTTATAACAATCCCAAATGTCTTCAGACATTGCCAAATGTCACCTGAGGGGCAAAATTACCCCTAGTTGAGAACCACTGGTTTAATCCAATCTTGCTGTGTGGACACATCTAAAGACAACCTAAACCTAAACTATATACACATGGGAATAGTTGCACTCTGCACAAACATTTGCTATGAATAGCTCTGTAAGATAGTTTTAATAAGCAATAGTATTGTCATTTAATTCAAATATGATTTAAAATATTACTCAAAACTATAATTTTTAAAGAATTTTAGCTTGTGTAAGAAAACAATTTTATTTTGTTTGTCATAAGAGGACAGTTCCAAAAACTGATTTCAAACCAAGAAAAGCAATAACAATTAAATCTTTTTTAAGGTTAACATGTAAACGATGTTCAGGGAATAATCGACACCATCCAGTTGAAAAGGCTTCCTCCTGATACGATACAACCATTAGCAAGATCAAAAAGTCTCTCAAGATTGAATATAGACGGCAGCAAGACATCAAATGGGACCTGAGAAAAAGCATAAAAGTGTTCACGAAATGCATTGTTTCAAACTGTTGACTGAAGTAAAGTTTCAAATTACACAAATACCAATTCCATATAATAATTTTACGTGGATGATATTTAACTCTTGCCTAAGGTAAGACGCAAAGTTTCCCATCTCTACACTGCCGAAATGTCGCATATATCATTTTACGTCCTATTAAGATTCATAGATTAGCCTATAAAACTTCTAGAAATATGGATGGCTTGTATTTATATAGTCATTGTACATGATTTTAAAAGTAGGACTTTTCACCCCATTCCTAATGAAATACTTTCCTTCATAACAGATTGCCCAGTTGACAAATCTCCCTCCCTCATTTTGAGTTTACGTCCTGACACAGTGAAGCAAATTACGTTTGAAGCTCACTCTCTCCGAAAGAGGCACCAGGTTACCATGCTGAGGACTAGTGTAGCCAAAGTCATCTAAGTAGGCTGAAAAATGGAAAATAAAGACTGCTTTTGTGATCATAGCACTGGTTATTTGATTGGGAGAAGGGCAGGAAGGAGAGAAGGAACATGAAGGAAAAGAAACAAATGTTTACTGGGGACCCATTTCACGCCAATCTAGATAGTTTGAAGATGAATGAGCAAATTTCACATAGAATGACTACAATGAATTAGATCCTTGTGGGCCTGAGTCTTGGTAAGAAATTAGAAGACAAGTATTATTCATTTCTTGTCTACTTGTTAAATGAAACTTTTATTCTCAAGAAAGCATAATGAACCTAAAAGTGGAGGCTGGTATTTATTTCTTTTTCTTCACTTTACTGAATTAAAAAATGACAAAAGTATGCCAGTGCTTTCTACAACTTCAAATAATCAAGAGGTGAATAAATAAAAAATTAATAATATCCTCCTTTCTCACTCAGTCCTAGAGTAATTAGTGTTACCACTTGGAGGAATAAGCTTCCAAAACTTTTAAATCCTCATAAAAATGTATACTCATGTGGCGTTTTTTTCTTTTCCTTTTCTTTCTTTCCTTTTTTTGAAATAAGATAACTAGACTTCCATTATTGGCTTTTTCGGTTATCAATATGTAGGAGAAATCCTACCTTCATTCAGGGAGGCAGGATAACCACATGGAGTTTAAGAGTGGGCATTCTGGAGGAAGACTGCCTGGTTCAAATTCAGACCTCACCACATACCAGCTGTGTGAGGTCGGTTAAAATATTTGATCTGTTTGAACTTTAATTTCCTCATCCGTAAAATGGAAATAACAATAGCTCTTTATCATATTGTTCTTACAAGGATGGAATGAGTTTATAACACACAAAACACTTAGAATGGTGCCTAGCACATAATAAGCACTCAGTAAAGCCTAGATATTATTATTATGATTGAACACATTATTTTTAATGGCTACTAACAATACATATATGGCCGTATCCTAATTTATTCAATCATTCGCCACAGAGGTTGTTTCCAGTTTCTGTATGTGCTTATCTGTGTATATATATCCCTGGATACAGGTGCTTCTGTTTCTGTCCTACTGATTCTCCAAGGTGGTTGCTTTAGTCAAAGGGTGTTTACATTTTACATTTTAACATTTCTTGCCAGATTACTTTCCAAATAGGTTATGGCAATTAACACTGAACCAGAAACATATGAAGGTTTTCCCATACCCAGGGCAGCATATTATTATGGAATGTTATAAACTTTTTTTTGCCATTTAATGATTATTTTTTATTCATAAAAATATAATGGAAACATTTTGGCAAGAAAATATTCATTGGTTTATTAATATGTTGAAAATATGTGTTTACTGTGATTATTTGGTTATATCTCATTGCTATTTAACTGCACTAAACATTCGTTTTATTATGTAGCGATGAAATATCTCATGCCCAATTTAATACTCTTTAGTAGATGATTTTCAATTAGTATACAAAAAAATAATAATTAACATTAAAATATTTGTGTTTTCTCTTATGCTATATCTCTGTTATTGTAGAATTCTTCTCATGTTAAAGATAGGAATGATATAAAAAAAAAAGTAGCCAAGTTAGTTTTACATAACATTAGAGCTATCTTCATGACATAATTTATATACTAGACACAGCACTTTGGCCTCTGATCCTTGACAATGAACCTGCAGAAACAAGTGATCGCTTATCAAAGGATGAAGATTAATTGAAGTTTATTTGTTGAGGGCACAAGTGAAAGCTTCAGATCAGGAAGATAAAATAAAAATAGTTGTCATTCAGGAGTTATTAATTCTTTTTTGTCCTCAGGAGAATACAAATTACCCTAAAATGTCAGGACCCACCCGTGTTATTACTCCGCCGTTTCCAGACACCCAGGCATTTTAAGCCCTTCGGTCGACGAGTCACATGCTTTAAATGCTATTTCTACCATGCTATAAAACAGTCTGTATTCTGTTACTGCTAAACACAATTCTTTAAATAAACTTTTGATTTAAGTATAACATACAGACAAAAAAATGAGAAATCTTAAGTGCACAACTTGATTTTTTTTTTTGAAAAATGAACACATACTCATAACCATCATCCAGATCATAGAACCTGATCAGCACCCAAGAAGTCCCCCTGGTGCACCCTCCTAGTCACTAATTCTGCCCTCCTTCCAACAAAGTAAACACTGTTCTGACTTCTATGCCAACAGCTTAGTTTTACTTGGGGGGGTTGTGTGTGTTTTAACTCTATTTAAGTAGAATAATAAAATATATAGTCTTCTGTGTCTGGCTTTTTTGTTCAACCTTATGTTCCTCAGATTCATCATGTCACTGAGTGTAACAACATCTTTTTCATTCTTACTGATGTATAGTTTCCATTGCATGAATGTATCACTATTTATTCACTTTCCAGATGCTGGACATTCAAGTTATATCAAAGTATTATTTCAAAACTTTATTTCAAAATTTTCACTGTTTAGAATCAGCATGCCTTAGGTACACAAATGTACACATTTCTGTTAGGTATATACATAAAAGTGGAATTTTTTTGGCCATTGGTTATGCATATATCTTTTTTGTGTGTGTGTGAGGAAGATCAGCCCTCAGCTAACATCCATGCTAATCCTCCTCTTTTTGCTGAGGAAGACTGGCTCTGAGCTAACATCTATTGCCAATCCTCCTCCTTTTTTTTTACCCTAAAGCCCCAGTAGATAGTTGTATGTCATAGTTGCACATCCTTCGAGTTGCTGTATGTGGGACACGGCCTCAGCATGGCCGGAGAAGCGGTGTGTCGGTGTGCGCCCAGGATCCAAACCCAGGCCACCAGTAGTGGAGTGCGCGCACTTAACCGCTAAGCCATGGGGCCGGCCCTATGCCTATATCTTTAAGCAGATTCTACCAAACAGTTGTCTAAAGTGATTGGCCAATTTATACTCCAACCAGCAATGGATGAGGGCATCAGTTATTCTACATCTTCAAAAACTGATTATTTTACTTGTTAATTTTAGCCATTCTGTTGTATGTTGTGAGATATCTCTTCATGTTTTTAGTGTCATGTCCCCGACAATTAATAATATTGAAGGTACGTTCATTGGTCTCTGTTGAAGGGTATATTTTTGTCCAATTAATATTGAGTTGTCTTTTTCTTACTGATTCTCAATATATTTTAGAAACCAGTCCTTCGTTGGGTGTACGTAAATATATTCTCCCATTCCGTGGCTTGCCATTTCACTCTCGTAGTGGTGTCTTAAAATATAGTCCAATTTATTTTTTTCCCTTATGATTGGTACTTTTTCATAGGTCCTATTATGAAAGCTCTGCCATTTCCAAGGTTGTGAAGATAATCTCCTATGGTTTCCTCCAGAAGCTTTATGGTTTATCATTCACATTTAGTTCCATAATCAATTTGGAATTGATTTTGTATATATTGTGAGGTAGGGATCAAAGTGAATTATTTTTCCATATAGATATCCAATTGACCCTGATCCATCTGTTGAAAAGACAATTCTTTCCTCTTTGAACTGCAGAATCAACTTGGACATAAACCATGGGACTGTGTATGTGTGGACCTCTTTCTGGACTCTCTATTCTGTTCCACTGGTCTATGTCTATACTTAATCCAATCCCACACTGTTAATGTAGCTCTTTAATAAGACTTGATAACTAGAAGTGTAAGTTCATTAGCTTTCTTCTTTTTCTAGATGGTCTGGCTATTCCAGGTCCTTTGCATTTCCATGTAAATTTTGTAATACTACTGTAAATAAAAACTTTTTAAAAATTTAATTTCTAATTGTTTTTTCTACTATATAGAAATAAAATTTGTATTTACATTGATATTGTATATAGCGACTTTCTTAAATTCACTTATTCATTCTGTTTATTTGAAGACTATTTTGGATTTTCTATACCTGTGAAGAATGAGAATTTATTTTTTCCTTTCCCACAGTTATATCTTTTTATTTTTCTTCCTTTATTTTGCTGGCTAAGAATCCCCATACAATGTTAATTAGAAGTGAGGATAGGGTGCCATTAACATATAATTAATTGACTTTTCAATTCAGAGGTAAGGGGGAGTTTTTTTTAATGAGTGGCATTGTAAAATTGTCTACTACTAAAACTCATCCTTTTATTTACTTACATCCTGCACTATTTTTGTTAAATTTATTCCTCGGCTTTTCATAGTTTTGTTATCATTGTGAGTGAAGTTTAAAATTTTCCATTTTAAATGGTTATTCTTAGTAGAAATAAAGTTACTGATTTTTATATTAGCTACTTTATCAGATTCTCTTAATCTAATCATTTTAAAACTCTAGGGTTTTGGTTTTACAATTATATCCTTTACAAATAAAGATAATTTTGTTTATTGTTTCTTAATATTTATGTTACTGATTATATTCTCTTGCCTTATTCCAATAGCTAAATATTTCAAAGTGATGTTAATTCACAGAAGTGCTATTGAGCCTTATTATTCCTAAAACTTCTACTTAAATTAGGAAAAAAAGTAAACCACTCAAACATGTGCCAGGTAATTAATGAAATAAACATTTTATTA